CTGTAAAGATTTTAAACGGGAATACAGCGATGGTGATTCCAAAATTTTATTATTCTTTGCTTAAAACTACAAATTTGCAAAATTCTAACTTCGAATCACTGGTTTATTTTATAAGGTTTTATTAGAAATACCCTATAAGTTTAAAAATAGGTAATAAGGTTTTATTAGTAATACGCTAAGAATTGAACTTGAATTAGCTTTTAAAAATACTTTATTGAGTTAAATTTCTAATTTGGTTAGGATAAATAAGTTATTCTGTGCTCATTACTATCATGAATTCTTAATTTTATGTGGTACATCAACAAAAGCATTTTAGTTGTCTCTGTTTTCAATATTCATATACATGTAACCAACAAATCTGTCTAAATTCTAATATTTTCTTATCGCTTAAGGCTATAGATTCCATTTTTTATCAAAACACAATTTTTTAATACATTGTAATCTTGTAAATTAATACTGCATAGTTAGATTTTTTACTACTTTTTACAACTTTTTACTCCTCTACGTCCTGTTTCTTTTTGGGCTAACAGAATTTAAAGTAATTTTTCTAAATCTTCTTTTTTTATTGTTTTTTTTATTGTTTCTTTTTTAAGTTACCAGGCTTTGATAAATGTTTAAAAAGGTTTCTTGGTAATTGGTTTACTTCTTTCGTTTGCTATTTATTCGCGAAATTTGATTTCATTGACAAAATGTTCTTTATTTTTTACGATTTTTTATACTATTTTAATTTGAATACTATTTTATTATTGAACACTGTTTTACGATATTACGATTTTTTATACTATTTTGATTTGAATACTATTTTATTATTGAACACTATTTTACTATATTACGATTTTTTATACTATTTTGAAATATTTAATGCTGCAATAAAAAAGAATGTGTTAAAAGTGAAACTTGATTGTCTTTATTTCTGGGAAAAGCTGCTTGCACTACATTTAAAATTAGCATTAAATATAGACAAAAATAGTATTTTAAAATAAAATACTGCTTTGTTCCGTAATATATGTAGGTTATTAGGCGAAACATAATAAGGAAATTTTACATTATTTTGTCCTTTGTTTGATTTATTGCTGTTTTCAATTATTGTTACTTATATTATTATAAAACTTTGTCAGCTCGATATCAAATTCTATGGGCACAGATTTTGTTCTTAGGTTAGTTTACGTTAAATTATTGTTAGAGTAACATTTCGAATTTGTACAACTTATTTAATTGATATAATGCAAGTTATTTTCATATTAAATTTTCTTTATTGAAAATGATTGCACGTGCATAATGAAAATACGTAGTGCGAAAAGAAGAAGAAAAAAAAGAAAATGCTTCTGCTTATCACGTGTTACCTTAGATCAGTGTTTCCCAAACTTATGACTTTTGCGTACCCTTTCTAAATTTTTCGTAACGCTGCGTACCACTAATAAAAAATGAATGTATTTTTTAGTATAAAAAATTGCACAAAAGTTAAAAATCACAACTGGCTGTTGACTCCACTAATTATTAACTGTTAACTCAGCAAAAAATAGCCAATAGGAACATACTTAATCGTAAATTTTCATGGCTAGCTTTGTTTTTAGATATAAATTTCTGAAATTTTCGTTTGTCGCAAGATATTTTGCATAGGAACGCGTATCCCCGCTAAACTGCTCCCGTACCCCTGGGGGTACGCGTACCACACTTTGGGAAACTCTGCCTTAGATGCACGAATTTTTTTCATTCAATTTTTTTGTTAAAGTGCAATTGGACGTAAATACATAAAACCTAAGCTATAGCTTTCCCAGTTTAATTCTTTAAAAAAAAAGATTGTTTTATTTTTAAGATTAAAAAAATTTATGGTATAAGCTTAAAAAATGAATTCGCAATTATTTTTTAATGTTCAACTATGCTTATCGATAAATATTTCACATAAAGATGCTACAGCTCTTAAACACGAGAGTGAAAAATTTGGTATTAATCATGCAATGCCTGTCCACACAAAAAACTGAGCTTTATTGAATTTATTTGCTGAGTTTATAAGTTAAATTCCTTTATTGGAATATATTCGCTTCCCAGTTGAACACTTTCTCGGTGAAAATAAGTTATTTGATATCGATGATATATGAAGGACAAAGATGAAATACTTAGAAAAACATTCGGTTTTTGAAGGTTGTGTACGATTGAAACATCTGATTTCTCAAAGAGCTTGATGTGAAAGGGTGATAGCGAGGAGTAACATGAAGCAGCCTTAATAATAAGTTCTATATCGCATTATTTATAACGAAAATCATTATGAGATTTGTTGCCTTCTTTGGATTTATCTCTTCTCCTCAAAAATAGGAAAACTTAAATTCGAATTTTTTAGGTTTTAAAATTTTTAAATATTTAAATCTTGATATCTAATGTAATCATTAATAACAAAACTTCAAGCAAATATAATTTTTTTTCGAAGTTTATGGTTATTGAAGTCTATCAAAAAATTCTTTGATCCAATTAAACAAAAAGTTTTAGATTCGCACTCTGGTTTAAAATGTGGTTAAGGACGTTAAACATACAAAAGAAAGTTGTAACGGGAATCGAAACTTTTTGTCAATAATTATTTTATTTAATTCTCAGAAACCACCTTTTAATGGAATTATATATGTATATGTATATATANGAGGATTTTGCATTTATTTTGAAGAACAAGACGGCCCCTGAAATCACACTAGTTGAAAATAAAATTATTTCTAAATTTAAAAAAAAAATCAAGTGTACAAAATTTTCTTAAGTAAAAATATTTCACACTGCTGTTTCCGAGTGTGAATCTGTGTTAAAGTGAAATTTCCACAAAACTAAGTAATTTGTGGTAAAAAGAGAGAAAATGTTATCCTTAGAGCCTTACAAATTATATTTATATATTTATATATATATATATATATATATATATATAATTTCTGTTTTATCAATGCTGGTACAATAAAGAGAAATGATCTGTTTGTTTAGAAAAAGTACAGATTTAAATATTATTTCGTTTTTTCCTCAACAGAAAAGTATGGTCAAAACTGCCTGAATATCGTAAAACTTACCGTGTTTCTGGCTCCATGTGACAGCAAAAAACTGGATAATTATTACCGAAACACTTTGGTTTTGATTTTGGTAAAATAAACAGTGATATACGGTTTTAAAATACATGACAAATTTTGGTAAATGTGATCAAATTTGGAAATTTTATCATGACTCCTTACAGCAGTGGATAAAGACCCTTCGGTTAAATTTACTTTTCAGTTTTGTATTTTGTCTACTAAATGTGTGGCAATAAGAATTATAATTTTTGGTAAAACAATTACCATATGAATGCTAAAATTACAAATAAAGGATTAAATAATGCATATTTTAGTTTTATTAACCAGTGTCATGGATTTTATTCTCCAGAAATGTCATTATCCAACAGTACGGTAACTTTACTAGAATTTTTTTCTCTGTGTAGTACTGAAATATTATGTTTCATCAATAGGTACTGTGAAACCACATCAACGAACTGAACTGCTAGAAAGCAATCATTTGCATTGGTTTGCATTTGTTTTTTAATTTACTTATGGCAGAAAATAGTGCTTATCGAGGACAGCACAAAACGAAAGTCAAAATATTTCCAACGTTTGTTTTTGCGTTTTTCCCGTCAGTCGTATTATTTAGTTAGGGTGTCTAATATTTCATATTATTTTATAACCGTCGTTGAACAGCCAACCCAATTTTTGGTTTACGCTACTAATGTTGTACTCCATAGCCTTGTAGTTTGGAACATAATCCAAAAGACAAGGAAACTCCTGGATCATGTACTGTGAGAAATTTGCCTTCGTGGAGGACTTTTTGATGGAACTAACCCTCATTTGCGTTACATTGAGGGTAAAACCACGAGCACCTCCCACGGTAAGCTTGACGGCAAGGGGACTCTAACCAATGATTCGCCTACCACTGAGGATATTTTACGTCGGCGCATTGGTCGGTGCATGCCAGATGCGGAATTTGTATTTACCTTGGCCATATGAAGAAGGCAAATGGTTAAAATTAAAAAAAAAATCACTTTTCTTTATTTGAATCATTTTTTTAAAAGCTGCAACTTTAAAGATTATTTAAAACAGATTACTAACCATCAAAGGAAAAATAAGGTTTTGTCAGAAAATTTTTCAAACTTTTTAGGAAAGGAATTAGAATTAGGTTATTGGTTAATTTCATGACTGATTAGTAATTAACTTAAACAGTTACATCTTGCTCATTTAATAGAAAATTTCTAAATCAGGTTATGCTATTTTTTGAAATAGGTGTTTGGATAAGGCCACTCTTGAAATAAAGAGATTCGAACAAAGCCTTCTTTACTAAAAAGGAAGCATAAAAAATGAAATTGAATATTTAATTGCATATAAATTTAAATTACCCAAACATAAATTTTGGTATTTAACGTCAAAAAATTTAATAAGCAACTATTTTTCATTAATCAATTATTAATAGTAACGGAATGAACATGATATGAAACTTATATTACTGTGTAATTTATGATACTAAAACAAAAACAGCCCATGTAATAATTTCTTTTATTATTTCAAATAAAAGAATATTAATTTTTTTCACATGAATTGGCATTATGCCATCCAACAACATTTTTTTCAAATTTTTTATAACTACCTTCTATGCAGCATTTTTCTTGTACATCAAGTGAGAACCACATGATTCTCTTACAAAGTTGATTTCTTCTTAAGATTCGGTAACGTGCTTGTTTATTCAGTAAAAACATTATTTATAACTTTTCATGAGCTCAAATGAGCTAGTGTAAAGCAACTAAATGACACAACAGAGCTTACAGCTACCTAAACCTCGTTCATTGAAAAACTTGGCTTACAATAAGCATTTATCAAGTTTTAATAAGATTTTAGGAACGTTAGAAAAGTATAAAATAAGTACAAAATTAAATTATATACACATATGAATCACAAAATTACATAAATATTATATATAAGTTCATATTTGAGTTAAATTAATATTATTTGAAATATACATTAGTCTATCCTGAAAGCTTTATTTTCTAATTACTGTTTTATATTTTTAATTGCATGCTTGAAATTTAAAAAAACTGAACTTGCACTACAACCATATTTGCTTCAAATTTGCAGTTTAAACGAAAGGTCATAGAAAATACATCATGCTTGTCTCATAACTTTTTTATGCTTGACATTTTTGTGTATGACAGTATCGAAGAATCAAGAGCAACAGCATCAAGAGAATTAAAGAAACCATATTGATGCTGATTCATACCATATTGCTACCATATTAAGTTGGCGAAAATTTAATTAATTTTATTAAAATTATTTTCTAACATAAAATAAGTTTTTTAATGAACATCATACAAATGAGGGTGAATATATTCGTAGAAAGAAGATAAATAACATAGTAATACTCATGTAAGCTCCTAAGATAATAAAACGAATTTGCATCAGAAACTAATATGTACAATATAATAAAAAGTTAAATATACAATAATAGTAATAAAAACACGAAAATGAATAAATAAATTAATAATGCTATACAAAATACACACAACTTTTTCTTAATTTAAACTTAAATAGTTGATTTTATTATATTCAGAATAAATATTTTATACCTATATACAAGTTGCATACATATGCAATATAAATTGACTTTGATTTGTTTTGCTAATGAAATAAAACATGCCCACAGCACCAAAACAGCCGCATGTCTTCCAAACTAATTTATTTTGAGCATATTAAATTTTTACAAATGCCTACAATCAAACTCGTAAATTACTTATCTAGCAGAGTTTATAGATAATATATTGCACATTTATAAATATTATTTTTATTCAATTTAATTATTAATTATTTAAGATAATTCAATAGGGAAATAGAATGATATTTTAATATGTGAAATTACAACAGATAATATACAACTTGTTATAATTACACAATAGCAGCTTGTAATATTCAGAAGAAAATTGTTTGCTTTCCATATTTATTTATTTTTGTTTACTTCGTTTTTATACGTGATAAATCCAAACTTTTGAACTAACAATCTAGCAACATTTTAAGATATGTAATACACATTTATGAATATCATTTATCTAAATTTGTAACATTATCGCAAATAAGGCATTCAGTTGGGATTCAACTGGGATTAAACTGCTTTAAAACGTGAAATTGCATGTAAAAATACAATTAGAGTATCATAGAAACGCCATAATTGCTGCATATTTCTACACTGAGAAAAAAGCATGGTCAAAACTACCAGAATATGCTTCTGGCTGTTTGAGTACTTGAAAAAGCACTGCATTTTTTATTGAAGTACTTTGGTACTGATTTTGGTAAAATTAATACTACACTATAGTTTCATAATGTGTGATAGAATTTGGTAAGTTTATCGTGATATCTTTTATTCGCCATTTATAACCATTTATTCGGTTAAATTTTCTTTTCAGTTTTGTATTTTTTACTAAATGCGTGGTAATAAGAACTTTAATTTTCAAAACCAGAATTTTCGGTAAACCGTTACCATTTGAACGGAGAAAAATGCTAAACAAATGATTTTAATACGTATATTTCAATTTTATTAACCAGAACGATTTTTTTTTGCTAGAAATATTATTACTATATAATACGGTAATTTTACCAGAATTTTTTTCTTCGTGTAGAATCTTTATAAGAACTTGTTGCTTTTCGGCGATTATAGATTTAGAAATAAGTACTCACTCGGAAAAATATTTCTTTTTTAATCCAAAACTAAATACTAATAAATTCAGATGTTTTGTTTTGAAAAATGAAATTTTAACCGAATGAAATCGACTTTTCATACTATCTCTAATACTAATATTCTATTTCTATTCAAAATAATTTTTATATCCTATTCACTTCCAAATACATTCTACCTTTATAAGAATTTCTGGTAACTAGAAGGAATATTGCTTTAATCTGAAACACAATGTAACTTACTTTAATATTCAATTGTCCATCAGTTTTGGAATGAATAATAAAAGTTATCATCATTAAGAAATATTGTCAAAAATGTTTTTGCAGTTTAAGTAATTGATTACACACATTAATTTACACTATAATTTAAAATTTTCTGCTGTATTAAGTTCCGGCAAGAATTTACGATCGATACTCAATGATTGAAATGTAATTTGTTCTAGTATTTTATAAAATTTCCTAATCTACCTTTTTTAAAATAAAAAATAGATTGATGCTGTGATAATATAATGACAATAATTATTATTATTGAAATATGTCAATTATTATTGTAAATTTCTACCAGTGAAAGTTTTCAAACAATTATAGTAAACAGTATTTATAATTGATAATTTCGTAAATAAGTATCGTTCGTATAAGTAGCCCAGGACTTGAGAGTTTTTCATAATTGAGTAATTCATTTAGTACTAGTAAAAACATCAATATAAAAATAAAATAAATAGGAACAAAAATATATAAATTTAAAATTTTAGTTTTTTTTTCTAATTCCTTATTAAAATATCAGAGGTAATTTATTAGTAAATAAAAATTATTAAAAGTACTTTTAGGGAAGTTGAATTTTTCTGAAATGTGCCTATGTACAAAATAGTAACTATAACGTAATAATGTAAGCACAGATTTAAGGAAATTATAAATGTTGTAGAAAATGATATGTATACTAGTAATAATATATGTATACTAATAATAATAATACGAAGCAAAAAATTATAAATAGTTAACAAATATGAAGCTCATAACTATCAATAATACTAATGAGCTATATAGTTCTATATACAAATGACTCTAGATGTTTGATTCCTTAAAGAAGCCATATTTTGCAGTGAACGAGGTACGAAAAAAATAAATCCAGCTCATGTTGCTCATACCAAAGCCACTCCCTCAAAAAGGTCTAAAAGGAAAAAAAGAACAGAACTCAAAAAATGAATTTTTCTTTTTTAAAACAGGGATGATAAGGATAAGACTCGCTGAAAGTTTTTAATTCATTTCGTTACTTAGGAAAAAATAAAGCATGGTGCTTTACCTTTCCCCGAAGATGGACGAACTTTTCAAATCAGCTTCTTGGAACTCAGGGGGTGCTTCACGTTTACCGAATCTTATAAAGGTATCGTTTACATTCTCTTTCTTAGCTTTCTGAAAAGCTCTGATGCAGTTGGGATCACTGAGGAGAGCTTTCATCAGTTCCCGGGTGTTCGAAACTCTGCAGCCGTTGTGGTTAAGGATGAAATGTTGTGCACTGACTTTAAAACCATCGTCTCCCACATTGTCTGACAATTCGATGTCGCCCATTTTTGGTTGATCCATTGAGGAAGAGACTGCCTGAAGGTCCCTGGCATTCCGGTTTTCTGATGGAGATCCCCGTCCGAAACGAATGAAAGTTGAGTCAACAGCCTTTTTTCTCTGACCTTGGGTAATCTCTAAAAGAAAAATTATTAGCAGTTATATTTCGTCCCATATTTTAATGTAGAATACAAATTTGCAATTAATTAGCTGAATGGATCAATGTAAAGATAATTTTATTTTCTTGTTTGCTAAAGCGTATCTTCTATTATTTGCTGTTTTTTTCCGGTGAGGCTTATAACTAATCAGGTATACATCTGGTATTTATCATAATCTGCGTTAGAAGTGCAACTTACCAAACGAAAGATTAACTGTATGCACCGAAGAGCCATTACATTATGACCACTCTCCATCTATAACAATGGGCTCGCTCAGGTTTTCATGGTTTCTCGCCCAGGAACAATATTTTCATGGGGCACATTAGGACCCAAAATCCTCATAGAACAATCCCTGACGTCTGTAAGCTACTTGAACATAGTTACTGACCAGGTTCACCCATTCATGGCAACAGTTTTTCCTGCGGGGGATGGTGTTTACCAACAGGATAATGCTTCATGTCATAAGGATCGAATCGTCATGGATAGGTTCGAGGAACATTCCAGTGACTTTCAAGTCATGTCTTGGCCCCCAAATTCACCTGACCTTAATCCAATAGAGCATTTGTGGTCCTACTTGGAAAACCAAATTCGTACTGCCACGCTACCCCCTCGCAAGGTGAGGGAATTGCAGGACGAGTTGGTGAGCGCTTGGTACCAGATACCTCAGACTACCTATCAGCACCTTGTGGAATCAATACCACTGCGGATGCTAGCAGTTTTGAGGGCTAAAGGTGGTCCTACATGTTATTAGCAGGGTGGTCATAATGTAATGGCTCTTCGGTGTATATAGTATCATTTAACGTATGATCTACAAAATTTACCATAATTTGTCCATGACTTAAAAGATAAATTTTTTATTTCATTAGTTCTTGTTAAGTTTTCACTCATTAAATTTGTAAAAATGCGCTTTAAAAGAGTAAGTATCAATCTAAGAAGCACATATACCTTTTAAAAAAGAATTCAGTAACTTTATCCCCATACATTGATAAATTATTAACGTTAATTTTACTAGTAAGAATTTGACATACGAAACATAAGATAAATAATTCGTAAGAATGTGCAAAAAACTTATTTTTTTAAGGATTAGAACTGCGAGTTAAAAAATGACTAACATTTTAAATTATTTAAATGCTATTGAAAACTCTTTCTTATGGATGTAGTGTCAGAAATGGAGGTCGGCGAAAGTTTGCAATTTGCAGAGAAAGCAGACTGTTTGGTTTTCTGACGCAGACAGGTCTCCGGTGTCCCATCTGCGTTAAAAGGGCAAAATAAACTAATAGGTCCATAATGTTTTCGAACGTATATGCACCAAATTTAATGCGAATCGGTTCATAATTGTGGATTTGTATAAGGTACATACGTATACACATATACATAAACATATCTGATTTACTTATATAGACAACATTTTTAGGCTGATAAAAAAAGCCTTTTTAAAATTTTGAACAAGCTATTTAATCATAATGTATATTTTTATGGAATATATTTGTTTTTGAATGTATTTCATTCTAAAATATCAGACATTGGCTCTTCATTTGCTCTATTAAATGTTTTGTTTTATTTTATTATTCTTTGTAATCTGTTATGATTTTTTGTTAGCCTTATAGTTTGTTTTATCATCTGTAATATTTTATCATTATTTTTATTATAAGTTAGATACCTGGATTTAGACAAAATTATTTTTATTTTCTACTTAAAAAACAAAGTTTTATTCTGTTAAGAATTTACATGAGTGCGTTAGAAATCTGTGCTTTTTATGGCGTTGTTTCTTAAAATTTATTCTAAAGCTCATGTTTTTATCGAAGCGTCTGATAAAATTATTATTGCACACTTAGTATAATAATAGAAAGAGATTAAGATGTTCTTATTAATTAGAAAAAGTTATACCAATTATATAGGAAGAACTACTCTGAAATTCAATTGAGTTTTTAATTATTGAAATCTTACCATTTTATTAAAAGATTTTATTGTATAACCAATCTGCGTTAAGAAAAAAAATCAATTTTGATTTATTCGATTATCTGTTTTATCTGGTATTAAATCACTTGAGTGTGCTAAATAATTAACTGTAAGTGAAAAAATGTTTAATTGGAAAAAAGGACAAGAAAAATTATTTATTTATATCTTTCATAAATAGAAATATAACTGCGTTCAAATTATTATTTAAACATTTTGTTCTTGATTTAAACATTAGACGTATTTAAAGAATTCTACAAATTGTATTTCAAAATATAAGAAAGTAAAATCAGAAAAAGTATCCTGCATTTAGGATAGTACTGAGGTAGTACAGTAATCAAGATTATTAAATACGGAAGTTCTGAATATTATAATCTTAAACAAAACTCTGAAGCATCTGTGTACAATTTATTTGTTGAAATGCATTCATTTGTTTCAATTACAAAACTGGGACACGCAAAATTATGTTCGCCTACCTCACAATTTTTATGATGAGTTAAAAATAATTATACCATGGTTATTTATAGACAATTTTAGGACTCAAAAGAATGTGTTAAACATTGCAAAATATTCAATGGCCTTTGGGTTAAAATAATGCATTGCTACGATGAACTCAAAATATCAATAAAGAAAAGTTTTTTAAACACCATTTATGCTCACACTGACCGAAATTTTTTTTTACTCACTATCGTCTTCACATAACTTTCTGATGAGTATTATATTGTTTTTTGGTCGAATTCATCCTTTCATGCTGTTAAAATATAAGGTATCTGTCCTGCACAAAGCAAACTGCTTTTTTTTCTTTTTCTTAACTGCATCTGTACATATTTCAAAAACTTTTTTCAGGAAAATTAAAAACTTTTTAAAACGATTTTTAATGCCAAAGTTATTAGTGATTGTATAGCTAAATCTGCTTTTTAAATAAAACACATTCTAAAATTAAGTTAAGGTAATTAAAATGCTTAATGAAGAAATGAATTGCTCTGTCAGCGCTCTTAAAAAAAGGAAGGGACTTAATAAAAGAATATTTCTAATTGGTAAATTCAAAAACTTCCTTTAAGAAAAGAAGCATATTTTAAATCAAAAACAAATTTAAATGTTTTTTTTCTGTTTTAAAGTCTGTAGGCTATTTAATTAAATACATTTAATTTGCTAATACTCTGAAAAACTAATATATCAAACAAGTGAAAAGCTTTTTATTTACTGATTTACTCTCTATTTATTTAATAAATTTATAGGCATCGAAAGTTTGTTTACTTAATTTTTAAATATAAAAATGTTCGTTTTTATTAAATTTAAATCACAAATAAAAATTTAAAATTGTCGGTAACATTGTAAATAGCTTTTATTTTAAAAATAAGTGATTTCGAATGCAAATATTAAATAGAAACAATATTATACATTGAATACTTTTCTTCAAACTTTTCCTATCTTTTATACTTTCTCTTACCTTTTTTTAGTTAGGCAGAAAAGTTTGAATTATATGTGTTCAATTGACATTTTTAGTGCATGACTTTAAATTACATTCAGCTATTTTACAAGATTATTTTAATATTAAATGTAGTAAATTTTGATGGCTGCTACTTTTTTTAAAAAAAGGCAAATAAATTTTATTTAATAAGTTTTTTAACGTAGTAAAAGGTTTCTTTTTAATAATAACAGAACATTTGAAACAGAACTCTTTAAAACAGGATATGTGATAACAAAAATTAGAACAAAAATTTTATTGCTTTTTTTATTGCGGTTTAATTGCCGGTATTAAAATTTGGCAAAAATTATATCCTTTAAATATTTTGAAATTATTAATCAAAGGAAAAAAAAACACTGTTTTATTTTGTAATATTTCAATGAGATTAAAATGTTAAAGTTCATATGTTTGTGCTTTAATTTTGAAGAAATGCTATTTAAATGTAAAGTTAAATTGGGTTAGAGAATTAATACTTAAAAATTATCATTTAAGAGTTTCTTCTTCAATTTATCTTATAACTAATGTGATGACAAACTATTTAATATTTTTTGATGAAACTGATTCTTATAATTTAAATTATAAAGAACAAAATTTGTGTATTTTTAATTTAAGAAAGCGATAAGTAATTGCAAAATTCTACTCAGGATAGGCTGAAATATTGATTTTGTTATGAAAAGAAGAACAATTAAATTGATTTCAAAATATTTGTCAAAAATTTTAATATTTTTGCAACCCACTGTTTAATGACAATTAGATGTGGATACAAAAGTCCAAAATAAACACAAACATAATTAAGACTCAATTCAGTTTTTTAATGTTGCTTAATGGATTAAAATATATGTTTTTTGTTTACAATGGTTAAATATAATCTTTAAAATTGAACTATCAAATTGAATATGTTTTTGATTGTTTTTGTCATGTTCGTCATCTGTAATGAATTGCATTAATTCATGGTTCGTTTGTCTGTTTCAAAAACTGACAAGCTCCCCTGGTGGGAGGAAAATGAAGTCTTTTTATAACTTTACACTCAATCATTTTAATTTTTGGAAGATGACCTGATTTCTAATTTCCTCTAATTTAAAAACTTGTGCATGCATATACATTTTAAATTTTTAAAGGAAAATATATAAAAAGCTGCTGTATTGAGCAAGCAATAAAATTAAAGTTTAGATATTATACCTTATTTTTGAAAGAATTTTTAAGTTCTAATTTTTTATTTCGTTTTTATTATTTCGAATACTAATTTTATTCACTCATTCCAAAATCAGCGAGTACACATGAGAGGACTAGACAAGCATTAAGTTTTTGAAATCTCAGAAAAACTCTTATCATTATTTAAATCAAATATTTCTCTAGGAAGTTTTTATGTTAGCTTAAGTTCAGGTATTTCAAATGAATAGAATTACATTTTCGTGTAATCTCATTAGCAAAAAACATTAAGGATGTTTCTTTCTATCTCAACTTTCTGCTTTTAAGATTTATATGAAAAAATTAAAAAGCAGCAAAAAGGACCATCTTAAAGTTGTAAAGATTTATTATATGAAATGCTTTAAAA